TCATTGAACATCTCGTAATTACATTTTACACACGATAGTGCAAGAATACATTTGTATAAAAATTCAACAAGATTTTCCCATCTTCAATTACCACGTAAATAATAATACCAATGAAGAGCAACACTTTGCGTGTTTTATTCGTGGAAGTAATTGAAGGAAAAAGCAAAAATTTATTTCAGTATATTCTGGTGGACGAACGAAACGGTAAATATATGGAGTCATATATTTGGGTGGATGTTATTTCTTGGTTTGACCCTGTACGATCTTTGTCTACTGAATATTCACGCACCCCTTGGTGACAAAGTGATAGTAGCTCTCCTTCTGATTTGTTTTCAGGTAATATTGAAAATTCTTCTTTAACCACTCTAATTCAAATACACGCTTCGTTATTATCTTGGAGTAAAATCTCGAACAAATTCTACGTTATAAAAATGAGTAAAATTAATCGTTTCAGGCATGCATGATATTGTCCTCGGTGTATCACACGTTTTCCTGTCGAAGTGAAAAAGATTACTGGTGCTTTTTATCCTTCGATCTGTTTGGCATCGCTCTGAGCCTCCTGTCTATATACATGTCCGGAGTTTATTACGCTTTTTGGTGTCACAAGGTGAGAAAATTGCATAATTGAATTGCCATTCAGGGAATCTATTATGAATTTCAGATTTCTTCGTTTCAAGCGACTATTTCGTGCATTCATTTCTTTCATCCTGATTCCCATCATTGCCAGTTAAATGCATTGTTGTTCTGCCAGCTATATTCCGTTTGATATACTGTTCGAGTAAAGTAATTCAGAACACTTGTTATTTATACCTAATTAAACACTCTGGTGTAATTTGTCCATTTGAATTTAAAATTCTGTTGGAGCACAAAACATGTTAAAGTATATACTTATATGTTACTCATATAGAGAAGAAGTTATTTTTTAACATTAATCCTAAATATTCGTTGTTTTCATGCAGGAGTTGCAGAGATTTTACTTGATAACCGTATTAGCAATTTTTATATTTGCAATGATTTTGCAAATACCAAAGCTGAATGTTAACGGAAACGTCAAGCTAGTCGTGTTTGTTGGTTGGGCAGCTTATGGAGTGCTGCCAACGCTGCATTGGAGTATTGCTATGGGTGGCATGGACAACCCGATCGTTAGAATGTTACTTCCAAGGGTACTAGGAATGTATGTGATTAGTGGTGCAGCATTTGCTATTTATTTGAGCAAAATACCGGAACGCTTTTGTCCAGGTAATTGTACTAATCGCTTCAGATAAAGATTATTGCGGTACATTTAAACGAGGAAACGGAATGAGACCTGTTGTAAAAGAGGCGATAACATTTGAATAAATTCTTCACGCTACGCTCGTACTCAACTCATTTCTGAAGAAAAACATTGGAAAAGGTTGATTAAAAGAGAAAACGATCAGAAACGGTATTACAGCGTTTCAAACGATAAACTGTTCTATTAATTGTAAATTGTTAGAGTGTCTAGTTTCACGAAGTAATAATTATGCATTAAAAATAAAAAAAAGGCCTCGTATGTTTTATTTTTTTCTACGTAAAGTATGCATATTCTTAACGTTCCAACCGCATAACTTACGCTTTTGACGTCAACTCACGTACTAATGGAAATAAAAGGCATAAATCTGCATTAACGTAGTATAGCAGGTGTTATATAATACTTTTATCAAGTGTTGTATCAATTATAGTTTATATTTTGTTTTATTCCAATTATGAATATTGACGAACAAACATTTGTTGATATAGCAAGCAACAACAGCAGTAGCTAAATTTATCGTGAATTTGTATGGATATATGTAGCATTGCAAAGAGTACGATTTTATTAAAGGTTGGGTGGATTATATTGGATCTTCTCATCAATGGTGGCACGCGTTGGTAGTATTGGCTCTTTACTATTGGCACAATACTGGAATGCTTTACGTGGAATACAGAATGAACCATGGTTGTCCAAGCAATGTGAAATTATTATGACAGACGGAGACTGACGATCATCCAGGTACGAAATATATTGAATTACATATTACATTGTACACATGTAACGATAATAATAATTAATTAGCAACAGTAATTATCATTTTATATCATTTTGTTTCAATTGGACACCTTGTAGATATTTATTTTACAGACAGTAGTATTCATAAATAAAAAATAGTAATCGTAAAATGAAAACAATTGATTAAGTTTGTTTTTAAAATTTTTAAGTTGTTCAGTTTCCTGCTGCATTCAAATACAATTATTTAATTAAACTAATTATATATCATGATACAGCATACACGTGTAAATATTTCAGGCCATGGTTTTATTATGGAATGTGCTTGTGCAATGGAATTCAACGTTTGGTCGTCAGAATATTACAACAAATTACCATTTTATGCTATCGAAAGGAAGACAAGTTGCGTAATCGAGAATCCAATACAAGCATATCTTCGACGAACGGCCTAATTTTATAAAGTGCAATGCATTTTGACATTAGTAATTTTTATTTATTTTGTATTTATAAACTTTGAATGGACATATTGCAACTCCTTTTTTTTTCTTTCTTTATTTTAATTACGGAGAAACAACCTTTTCAAGCATTTATTTTATTCCTACGTAGTGAAAGATATTATGTTATTCGATTCTTCGATATTTCTTTTAAGGACATAAGGAAAACTGCTCCGCAAATGTTAAACAGCGACACGCCGTTTTTGTCAACTGCTGATAAAAAGTGAATATATATACTAAGATTGTATTTACATATGTATACGTCGATAGCGAAAATCGTTAACTTTACGTACAATTTGTTCGATAGATGTTCGATAATAGCATTTATAGAGACAGAATTACCTTTACAATTGCATGCTATCGAATAACATTTGTGTAAATTACGTCGCAAGTTGAAGTAATTTTAGCAATACGATTCTACACTTTGACTTTAAGCAATATCTGAGATTTTGTAAATAGGAAGATACCACTTGTTGAAATACGAAAGTTTTATACAAAAAGATGTAGAAATAAATTTGAACGCATATATGAATATTTTCCACTTTTAGATCAAATATATTTGAACTATCTTCTTTTTAAATAGTGCATAAAAGATTCTAATTTTAGAATGTTTGCAATCTATTGCAAAATTAATAACAATTCGTTTGTAGTTACTTGTTTCTATTTATCATACGTACGATAAACATTTTGTTACCTTAGATTTATTATTAATAGATCCAATATGTGCAGTTATTGTAATTAGAAAACTAAATTAATATGTACATTTGATTGACGAGCCATTGTGCAATAGTAAGTTACACGTAAAAACTGAGAAAATTAAATATTTGCAGAACTACAATTAGTATATTTTAGTACATATAAACATTGTTTTCACTTCAGTTAAATGTAAACAAAATACTGCATTACGTAACTATTTTACGTAAGTACTTTGTATTGTATAATACATATCATAGACAATTATAGAAATATATTTCGTATTTATAGATAAAATGACCAGTGATGAGCCACCCGCGATTCCGCTAATTATTTACTTGAGGTCCAAACGTTTGTTGCGTTTAGCACGAATTTATGAAATAATTTTCGAAAAGACTGTATGATTGCAGTATAGATAATATGATAAAAGGAGTAGTATTGGTAATAGCAGCTGAGAGTAAAAATGTATTCGTTATTACCCATGTTGAAAATAAAACATTCCACCCTGTAAATTAATAAATTAAGTTTTTAACCCTCTGCCAAAGAAAAGGTTGCTCATTACTGGTTTAAACTGTTACAATCAAAATTGAATTATTAAAAAAATACAAATTTTTATAACGACTTTACGTAAATTCAGATTTATATATCTAAATGCAGTGATTATAAGAGAAAATTGTTATTCGTTCCAACTGTTAAATAAAATTGTTACCCAAAATGATATTGTTTATTAAATTATTTATTTTCCCTAGCAATAATATTTATTTAGGTAAAGAAACTGATCTTTTAAACACGAACTAATACGTATAATATAACACGGCAAGTAAAATCACAGACGAAGTACAGAACGTATTTTTGTGTCCAACGTTCTGAAATACCGATCGTGTGAAAAATCAGAGATTTTGTTGTGCCTTCTACGGTATAAAGAGGGGAGTTGAGGGAATGTATACAATCCAACCGTGAAAGATGGTAACGTTTACAGATGTAAAAGACTCTCCTTTGTTAAATTCATATATAAAAATATTTACATATATTGGATTGACAGCAGTTTTTCTTCATACCTTTATTAGTATTAGTATAATACAAATTTAATAATATAATACAAATAAAATTAGTATTAGTAAGCCTTAAATAGTATTATCTTACGCTTTAACTTCATAAAACAGCTTCATAAATTAATTTTGCAATGAATTAACCATTGCATTCGATAAATTAGACGAAATTTGTTAATACTATTTATTAACAATTAGAAAAATTAATGTTCTTTGCGTATGAATTACAGATGGACCTTCTAGGACCCCATAAAATACAAGGAAAGGACTTAAACATCAGGAAACACGAAGAAATGCAAATAATTATGAATAAATCATTTATTTATTGTAAAATTATTGTTTAAAATGTATATTACAAAAGTTTACAATATACCAGTATTGTTTTGCAGCATTTTACACTCTATTTACTGCTCCCTTACACTCCAAATCCATTTGTTTTTGCAAAAAACCTATTGTTTAAACAATTTTCCGTTGCAAAAGTGTATAAATTAATGGCAGAAACCACCAGGAATGCGTTTCCATCGA